CCCCCCCCCCCCCCCCGCTGTAATTAATCTTATAACAAATGAAATTAAACCCAGTATTCATCGTGCAGCTCTGAGTGAGTTCAGCGTTTACTACAGAGCAGCGCCTTTAATGTTAGCGTCGTGAATGAACATAAATCCTGGAGTCACGAAGCTGCTGATGAAGGCTAGCTGTTTGTATTCTCCCTGACTTCATGCTAACACAACACTGAGCGCAGCAGCCGATGATGAGCTTTGTTTATGAAGCTGTTCAGCTGCAGCTAACGCTTCATTAGTATGGCTGTGGTGTGACGCTAACGCTAGGTAGCCTCATTGGTATGGCTGCTGAGTGCTGGCAGTGAATATCGGCTGACTGGCAGAGCGCCCAGCTGCACACACACGCACGCACACACACACACACATGCACACACACACGCACGCACACACACACACACACGCACATGCACGCACACTCGCAGCCTCTGCATTGCGCTGAATGAAAGAGGAGTGATGGATTGAGCGTGGCTGTATTTCCATCTCACCCTCGGGTTAGAAAGCACTTTACATCCAGAGAGTTCTCTTCTCTGGTTCAGATCTGCTGCCGTCTCGTGAAAACACACCTGTAGGGTTTCTGCTCAGGTGACGCAGAGTGAATTTACACAATGCAACGTCGTTTCAGAGAGGGGAGATTAATGAGACTCGGAGTCGAGGTTTTAGACTGTCCATAAAATTAAACGACCTCGCCTTCTCCTCTCAGCGTTTTTATACTTTTATTTTGTAATTCTTTAAAAGTTTGTCTTTTTGGGGACTGCCTAGAATGAGGCAGCCCCTTATTATTATCCACCTGACAAGGGTATCTTAACTTTATATCTTACTCTCCCGTCAACTTTAATGCAGCCTGAACCGTAACGTGTACCCTCACAAATGTTATATTAAACTGACCGGCTCGGCCCCGTGATGTGTGCTTTTACTTTTATTGGCATTTTGAGTTACCAAGGCGACGTAATTTGCAAACAAAACAGCCATTTTTCTAATTGAAAACGCCTGTCAGAGAAATTATATGATTTTTGAATGATTCTGTTATTT